TTACGACTAGGGGGTGCTCCCGGGTCGTGACAAGTATTTTGAGGTTTTGCCAAATAATTTTTGATAAGGAGACTCATTATTTAAACCTGGAGCAGGAAGTCTATTTATTAGATAGACTGCATGGTGACAGGCAAAGGACCACAATTCAGGAGGAAGTGAGGCTTTATTGAGAAGAGTTCTTGTTGTTTCGACAATGTGACGATGTCGTCGTTCAGCTGTGGCGACTCGTTGAGGAGTGTAAGGTGGTGAAATTAAATGTTCAATGACCTTTTGTTGTAGGTAGTGTTTAAGACCCATGTATTCACCCCCGCCATCTGTATAAACAGAGGCAATTTTGTGTTTGAAAAAAATTTCCACCAAAGGATGAAATTAGCTTCAACTTCCCTTTTATTTTTTATTGTATACAACCAAATATATTTGGTGTAGTGATCAACAAAGATGCAGTAATACAACTTTTTATCAATGGATAAAACGGGTGATGGACCCCATAAATCACTGAATAAAGTTTGTAATGGAGCATTGCTATTAAAAGTGAGTTGTTGAAATGGCAAACGATGAGCTTTATTGGATGAACAAGAATTACAAAACTCAAACTTTTCTTTGCTAGAAGTAGGAAGTGAAAATTTATTTAGGACAAAATCTAGAATTTTCAAATGAGGATGACCAAGGCGACGATGCCACAGTTGTCGAGAGACTTTGATGGAGGTGAAATTGATGGAGGGAAGATTATGACGCATATGTGGCCACTCATAGAGTCCATTTTTGTTTCGGCCTCGTACCAGTAGTCTCCGAGTTTTGAGGTCCTTCACATGAAAAGAGTATGGAAAAAATTCAACAGAGGTTAGATTGTCACTACAAAACTTGGCAACTGATATGAGATTCTTTTTTATAGAAGGAACACAAAGAGTGTCAGAAAGCATGAAATTAGCATTAGAAGCTTTTATTTGAGTTAGACCTCTTGAAACCGATTCATTAGTGTTACTTAAAATTCTGACTAGAGTGTGGGAAGTGCCATGGAATATTATAGGGATAACGGAAGATATATGGGGATTAGCAGAAATGGTCCAATTTCAAATTCAGCACATTTATAGAGAAGGAAATTGTTTGGCTAACTGCATAGCCAACTTAGCTTTTGATAACCAAAGCAGACTTGTTTATAATTCTAAAGGGCTGAGGAATATGGACCTACAGCAGTGGCAATCACTATTGAGATAAACATGTGGTTATCTATTTGTTAGTATTTTAAGTTTAAATTTTGAATTAGTTTGAATAAGTCAACTAATCTTTTAGATAAGATTAAGTTGTTAGATTAGTTGCTTAAAGCTAGTCGAGTTAGTTCCTTTAAGTTAGTCAAGTTAGTTGCATTTACTTGTATTTAAGCAGATGTAAGCAATGAATAAAATCATTCAAGTTTTCTTTTAATTCTCAATCTCTTTATGGTATCAGAGCTTAAGGTTGTATCTCGTGCTCTTATGGCGGCAGAGATCTCACGATACTCAGGACCCAAGCCACTCAAGATCTTGACAGCGAGTTCTTCATCAGCTACTGGTGAACCAGCTACTTTGAGAGCATCAGCAATTGATCTAATTTCTTGTAAGTAATTAGCAACAGACCTGTTGGCCTTTTTCAAATTTTGCAACTGATCTCGCAGGCTGAAGATGCGAGTGTGACTCCTGTTGGCATACGCCGTATGAAGGAGTTCCCAGGCCAGTTTAGCCGAGGAAGCCGTTGCAACCATGGGAGTAATGGTAAGATCGACTGATGCCATCATTGCCTGTTGGATCAGTTGATCCTGGCAGAACCACATTTCAAATTCAGGATTTTTTATAGTGGTATCATTATGAGTGATGGTGGATGGCGGAGCAGGTTTTGCTCCAGTGAGGTTCCCAATGAGTTTGTGTCCGTTGAGTAGCATCACCAATTGTGCTTTCCATGTTGCAAAGTTAAGATTACCTGCTCCAGGTTTAAATAATGAGTCTCCTTATCAAAAATTATTTGGTAAAACCCCAAAATACTCTTTGCTAAAAAAATTTGGTTGTCTCTGTTATCCATGGCTCAAACCATATACTCAAAATAAATTTCAACCAAGATCCACACCTTGCGTATATTTAGGAGTTTCAATTGTTCATCATGCACACCTATGTTTTGATCCAATAAATTCAAAGGTATTTGTTAGTCGTGATGTACAATTTTTTGAAACTATTTTTCCTTTTACCATCATGTTCTCACAGTTAAAAAATAAATTTTCCAAGATAAACTGGGAAATAATAGAATCCCATTCAGAAAAGACTTCAAAAAATCAACAGACTTTGGACTCCAACCTTGTTCCAACTCTTCTGCCACCTATCCCATCTCCTTCTAGTTATCCACAAGATTTGAACTCATCCTCAAATAATCAAGAGTCCGTGACGGA